ATAATAATGTGAACTTGAAAAAAAGGTAATGAGAGTAGGAGAATGAAATAAAATAAATTATCAAGAAAAACTATTAATTCCCACATAGCACCTTTATTTCCAGGAAGTTTCCAGGAAAATATTCAAGGTAACTTCGGAAGTTTCCACTGGTAACTTTGTGGAAACTTCCTGCTTATTTCACTGAATCTGAAAATGTCTTAGGTACGGTAGTTTCCCTTATTATTAACTTCCTGTTAACTTCCTTGGTTAAGTTCCAAAAAATTATCTTAGTAAATTATCAGGAATATTGCATAGGAAAATTCATAAATTTTTAAATTGTTATTTTCCAAGAATTTACTATAAAATTGTCTACAGTAATTGCAATATATATATATATATTATATAATTTATTAATATAAGTTATTTTTTATTATATATTGCTTCCTCATGGAGGAAGTATTGTTTTCGCGAAATTTTTCGAACTCATTTTTTTGACATATCTTTATGTTTTTTGACCTCAGGAATCCAAAAATGACATTTTTAGAAAATGTCATTCCGTATGTGTGTGTGTGTGTGTATACATTACATTTTCATAAATATCTCAAATTCTATAAGAGCTTTAGGGCTGAATTTTTTTTTAAATTGTAGATCTCACTTGGGGACATAAAATGAGAAAACTTTGGGACAAATTAATACATATTAACTATATTTTTTTTGACTTTTAAAATTTTTGAAAAATCGTTTTTTGCCCATAACTTGAAACACATGTTTTGAAAGTTGAGATGTTTTTACTTAATTTTGTAGAGTTTTTTAAGACGCATTTTTTGAGCTATTGACGAACAATCTGCTATCATTTTATCCAAAGTTATTGACATTTTAAAAATACGTATAATTATACGTCAAGTTACTTTGTCTTCGACATATTTTTTCTGCACTTAATTGTCTTCTTTTGAAACAACAAAAGAGTTTTTTAAAGGTGTTAAAGTTTATCAATCTTCCAAGTCAATTGTAATATTTAAAAGAAAGAAAAATAAAAAACGATCAACGTTTCGACAGCACAGCTGTCCTCATCAGAAGCGAAAAAAGAAATTTCGTGACTTCTGTTCAGTGTTCACTTCTTTTTTCGTTTCTGATGAGGACAGCTGTGCTGTCGAAACGTTAAAAAAAGGGATCGTTTTTTATTTTTATTTTCCTTTTTTTTAAATATTACAATTGACTTGGAAGATTGATAAACTTTAAAACCTTTAATATACAGTCACCAAGTGATAAATTCAATATTATTGAAAAAAGAGTTTTTTGTTGATCGTATAGCAGTGACTCGCATAATACGTCTTTATTGCTCGCACACTTCACTGCAACGTATGTGAAAAGTTCGCTGACATTGCTAACAAATACTTACAGTAAAACCCCGTTTATCCGAGCTCGCTTTATCCGAGGTAGGTCCGGTCCACATTAGCTCGGATAACCGGAGTCCCACTGTACATACAAAGACAGGTGGCTCTAGTGTGATAAAACAAAATAAACGCAATGGCTCAACCCTGACCATTGTCCAACCCTGACTACTCTCCCCTAATAAAATAATTAATAATTTTTCTTGAAAATTTATTTTATTTCATTCTATTACTCTTGTTACCATTTTTTTAAGTTCACATTATTATTTGCTTGTCATTTTCTTAATCATCATTTAAATTCTTTTTTTTATTTATTTATTTAATCAAATTCTATTTTATTTCGTTTTATATACCGTCAATAAAAATGCATAGATTCCACATAACTCGATATTCACTGTCGGTAAAAAAGAACAGCTCTTACCTGCTGAATCGCTTATTTTAATTTCGCTGATTATTTTATTATTTTATTTTCATAAAATTGCATTTTTTTTACATAATTCTGTTATTTTTACAATTTCTTTGCATTCCTTTATTCATACGAAATCAATTTTCGAACATTTAAAGCGCTAATTCTTAATTTATACGTCATTTGCAATAGAACGTATTGGATTATCTATTTTGAACGGATTCAACTTAGGACTCCAATCCGTTAAAATCCAAATAACGAATAAAACATACCGCACTGCAATTCGTTTTCCCGGTTCGTGCAATTCGTTTCCTTCCTCAAAACAGGAAAGCTTTGTATGTAACCGCCTAGATACGGTTAAAGTTGAGTAGTTGATAATCACAGATGGATCACAGCAAGATACCCAGCAAACACTGTTATATAATAGTTATGTAGCAATTATATAACCAAAAATCACATGTGATATCACAGGTGATAAACGTGTGATTGAAAATGTCGTAATATAATGGTCACAGTGATATTACTGTTACAAGCACTATGATATAACAGTTATGTAACTTTGTGCCAATAAATTTGTGATTCTTGGTGATAAGTGCTTTGTGATATAACAATTATGTAATAGTGTTTTTTCATTTTTGAAATTTTACTGGATTCTATAATACTGTTACATATATATGTATATATATATATATATATATATATGAGAGATTCTTTTTTAACCGCCCCAGTCCAAAAAGTCAATGTTAAAAAAGTCAATTTAAAAAAAAAATTTTTGACCCCTTTTTTTCAAAATCAACCCTTATTTTTCGATTTTCACCCCTTCGGGTATTTTTTTTTTATTTTGATTGGAAAGCTGAGGTTTTTTCCCATGAGCTATGTAAATATGAAAGTGGGACAACAATAATTTTGAGAGAAACAGAATATTAAAGTAGGCGGTGCCGATAACGGGTATACCTGGAGATCATCTTCGAGGATATAGGTAGGCACCGCCTAATTTTATATTATGTTTGTCACAAAATTATTGTTGTCCCACTTTCATATTTACATAGCTCATGGGAAAAAACCTCAGCTTTCCAATGAAAATAAAAAAAAAAAAAAAATTCTCGAAGGGGTGAAATCGAAAAATAAGGGTTGATTTTGAAAAAAAGGGTTCAAAATTTTTTTTTTTAAAGAACCCCGCACCATTTACATGGGAATTTGGGGTCCGGTGAAATTTTCTGCAACTGTATAATTTTGTAGTTTTTGACCTCCTGAACAAAAAATGTAAATGGCAAAATTCAAAAAAATGTGCAGATTTTTTAAAAATTGAGGTTTAAGTTTAAAAAATAGTGTTACAAGCGGAAAAAATTCAAAAATGAGTAAAACCAAAAGAGGTAAACAAACTGTCTTAAAACTCGCTAGTCGAGGGTTTTCGGGGTCGCTCATTACGAATTCGATATCAATTTTTGAAAATCCAAAATGGCGGATCCAAAATGGCCGACGATTTTTTTAAATACATTGAATTCCCTTAAATCTTGTTACTCGGGGGTTTTCGGGGTCGCTAATTACGAATTCGATGATAGTTTTTCAAAATTCAAAATACCGGATGCGAAAAAAGGTTTAAAAATTATTTTTTTAACGTGTTTTAAGAAAGTTTGTTTAGTTCTTTTGGTTTTACTCATTTTTGAATTTTTTTCGCTTTTAACACTATTTTTTAAACTTAAACCTCAATTTTTAAATAATCTGTCCATTTTTTTGGAATTTTGCCATTTACATTTTTTGTTCAGGAGGTCAAAAACTACAAAAGTTCAAAGTTGCAGAAAATTTCACCGGACCCCAAATTCTCATGTAAATGGTGCGGTGTTCTTTCGTAAACATTTTTGAAAAGTACGTGAAAAATGCATTAAAATTCATTATAGATAAATTAAAATCCATTAACTTTTGTCATAGTTATACGGATATGAAAATGACAATGTTACCCTTAACGGCACCCTTACCATATCGGCACCGCCTACTTTAATATTCTGTTTCTCACAAAATTATTGTTGTCCCACTTTCATATTTACATAGCTCATGGGAAAAAACCTCAGCTTTCCAATGAAAATAAAAAAAAATACCCGAAGGGGTAAAAATAGAAAAATAAGGGTTGATTATGAAAAAAGGGGTAAAAATTTAAAAAAAAAGAAATACATTTTTGAAAAGTACGTGAAAAATGCATTAAAATTCATTATAGATAAATTAAAATCCATTAACTTTTGTCATAGTTATACGAATTTGAATATGACAATGTTACCCTAACGTCAAAACTTCAACCCCTTCTACTTTCTACAAATATTTTTTTAATGAGTTTATATTTTAGGGATTTATTACTATCATATAGGACAACAATTGAGGAGTTTAGTCAAATAACTCGACCTACGCTCGGTGGATCGCTGAGAAGCCAGTCAGTGGTAACAAATATAGGAAAAAATAAAAACTCAAAATTTTTTTATTTTAAAAACACTATCTTGTAGCAAATCAAAAGGCACAACTTTTTTCTTATTGCCTTTTTTTATAGAACTAATATTTTGGACAATAAAAATTAAAAACTGACAAATTTTCATTTTGAAATTTAATTAAGTTTTAAAACATAAATTGCCTTCCTGAGTACAAATATTAATGAATTTGATTGGAATTTGGTATGTGTACTCACTTGGGTCTCCTGAAACCGACAAAGTCTTTAAAATCTTGAAAACTATTCATTGTTTATAATTTTTTTGTTATAAATAATGAGGTGTCATCAATGAAACTTTCTTATTTTCAAAGAGAAAAAGTATGCAGGGAACTTTTGAGTTCAGAGAACTTCCAGTGAGAAAGTTGTTCCTCACTATTTCAGGAAGTTTTTGGAAAATTTCAAATAAATTTATTAAAAAACAAAAAAGTTATACAATTTTTAATGAAGCTCGCGCTGCGCGTGTGGTTTAAGGTTAACTCCAGAAACGTGAAAACTGTCTGTTTTCAAACTTTTATCACTCACAATTATGTTCTTAATTTATTTCAATAATTTTTTTTATAATTTTATTAGTAATAATTTTATTAGTTAACAAACTTCATCACATTATATATATATATATATATATATATTCTAAAGCTTTTTTATTTTTACAATTCTTTTACTTAACACAATAGTTAATACTGATAGCTTGTACTTAACTAAAACATTATACATTATTTATCTACATAGTATGTCTCTTAACAATAAAATAGATTGAATGTTTTTAATATTTTAAAACATTTATAAGAAGAACATAAAACATTCTTATCACACATTCAAGTAATAACTTTTAAGGTTGTTTTATACAGAGAATTATTTAAGTAATTTCTAAGTTACAATATTATTATGAATACATTTTTTTCAGGCATCTTTAATTACGTTTACATACGCATACAATTAACATATAAATAAATATTTTCAATTTCAATTAAATTTTGAAATAATGCTTTTAAAGCACTTAATAGTAAATTTCTATTAATTTTCTGAATGTTTCTCAATTCTTTTTGAAAGAATTTTAACTATATTTTTTTCATTTTATATGAGATTTTGTTGGTTTTATTATTGACTTATCAAATAAATCATTAAAAAACTGTTTGCCCTTAGGACTTAAGTATTTAATTAAAGACTGTACATCTTTAATTTTTTCTTTGCTGATTCCAACTTTGGGAGGGCAAGAAATGTTTAACAAGTTATCCAATTCAAGATCAGAAGTTAATTTATATTGAAATGGTTTTTGATTGTAACTTTTAAATTGTTCAATTTCGCCATTTGGAAAATAAGTTATTTTTACTGATTCGCTAATTTTCATGTTCTTTGGTACATTTATATCATTTGGGTGGAAAACTTTAAAATCATGCATTCTAATATCGGCATCTTTAATAAGTGTAAAAGGAGGATTTCTTGCGCTTTTAATTATTTTAAGATTATCCTCAAAAGTTTTCGATTGTTTCCACTTTCTTTTTCTTTATACCGTACATACCAAAATTCCTATCGCACGAACAATAGGAATGACCCCGAACAGGATATATGTGCTGAATTTCTAGTTGTAATTTTTTTGAAAGTAAAGATAAAAAGGATAATATTAAGTAATTTTTATTTTGTCCACCACAGCTGTCAGAAAATAGATAAATTTTATCATAACAACTTATATCAAGTTCACGTTGGATGGAGTCAAAAAGAAAATTACACACCGTGTTTCCACCTTTTTTTAAATTGCCTTCTAAAAACTATACATATAACTCCTTTTATGTCTGCCAAAAACGTTTGCATTAAAAATGTGAAGCCAAATTAGTCGCTTATAAAACTGCTCAGTGACAGGAAGTTTTGGTAGAGCTAAATTTTGACCGAAATCAAATTCCATACATAAAAGATTTTTTTCTGATAAGATAGTATTTTTTAAAAGTTTATATTCTTCCACACTTTGTTTATGACAGTAAAAATCCTCATTAATGTCGTCAACAATTTTAAATTCGAAACATAAATTGCAAACGTCTGTTTTTGGTTTGGAGAAAGAAAAATTTAAATTCTTATTAAAATAATTGCAATATGATTTCTGTGTTATTGGTGGCGCTTTCCCAATCTTATTCGTATAATATTCAACAAATAATAAATACAATTTTGTTAAAGTCAACTCTGAATTTTCAAAATAAAGACGACTCGATTTTCCTAGACTGTAGTGAGACTGAGAATGAGGAATAGACAAACAGTGTTCGCGAATAAGCTGTTTCAAATTACAAGTATATCGAGTAACGTGATTATTGTGTCTTCCCGAATTATTTTGAAGAGATTCATTGTTAATTAGCTTCTTTTGAAGGACAGTGAATTTTCCAGAAACAGAAGTGTACTCTTCTCCCTATTGAAATAAATAAATAAATGTCACTACATATTTATAAGTTATAATTAATGTCAAAATAACAATAAAGGAAAACTTTAAACAAAAAATATTTAAATATTGTTAAAATTAGTTAATTAAGGTAAACATAAAACAATGCTTCCACAATGCGCACTTTAAAAAAAATTTTTAATACTTATTTTTTATTAAATTATAAACTGACAAACAAATTTTTGCTTTTTTTCAAAATGCTTTCAGAACAATTTTTTTTAAATAGAAGAAATGTTTACTGAAAACACAGACCATTATAAAAAAGTTATTCAAATTAAAGTCATTATTTATAACACTAATTAAAACTATCATTACAATAAAGTAAAATAATAAACCTTACCCTATTTCTTTGACATTTTCTTATGTTTTGTATCCAAAAAATTTCATTTCTATTTCTTTTCCTTCTTCTAACAATATTTTCGTTTATTAACATTTTTCTAATTCAAATTTTTTTAATTATAGTTATATTAACTATTAACTATATTATAATAATAAGATGCCGAAAATAGAACTATTCAGTTGACAATTACAACCAACACTAGTTGGTTAAAGTTTATTGAAGGTAAAGTTCTTAATTGGTTTGTTTATAAACAATCATAATATCAATAAGCAAAAGTAATCACGTCTACGTTTCAATTGAAATTTGTATTAGAAATTATAAATAGTACTTTCATTAAATAATATTACGAATAAAATCAATTTTTTATAAAAATGAAACAAAATTATTGATCTTATTACTGTGCAGAAGTGAACTAATAAAATTATTATTATTTAATAAAATTATTATTATTTAATAAAATTATTATGACTAATAAAATTATAAAAAAAATTATTGAAATAAATTAAGAACATAATTGTGAGTGATAAAAGTTTGAAAATAGACAGTTTTCACGTTTCTGGAGTTAACCTTAAACCACACGCGCTGCGCGAGCTTTATTAAAAATTGTATAACTTTTTTGTTTTTTAATAAATTTATTTAAAATTTTCCAAAAACTTCCTGAAATAGTGAGGAACAACTTTCTCACTGGAAGTTCTCTGAACTCAAAAGTTCCCTGCATACTTTTTCTCTTTGAAAATAAGAAAGTTTCATTGATGACACCTCATTATTTATAACAAAAAAATTATAAACAATGAATAGTTTTCAAGATTTTAAAGACTTTGTCGGTTTCAGGAGACCCAAGTGAGTACACATACCAAATTCCAATCAAATTCATTAATATTTGTACTCAGGAAGGCGATTTATGTTTTAAAATTTAATTAAATTTCAAAATGAAAATTTGTCAGTTTTTAATTTTTATTGTCCAAAATATTAGTTCTATAAAAAAAAGGCAATAAGAAAAAAGTTGTGCCTTTTGATTTGCTACAAGATAGTGTTTTTAAAATAAAAAAATTTTGAGTTTTTATTTTTTCCTATATTTGTTACCACTGACTGGCTTCTCAGCGATCCGCCGAGCGTAGGTCGAGTTATTTGACTGAACTTCTCAATTTACCAAAGTATGAAGCCAATCCCAGAACATTGACTTTTTGGGCTGGGGCGATTGAAAAAGAATCTCTCATATATATATATATATATATATATATATACATGGACGTATATATACGTCTGATTTCAATCACAATAATAACTTAATTATTATTAATACTTTTACAATTTCAAAGGAAATGATATTATTAAAATTAAAAAATTTAAATATTAAAAAAGGCGCAGGTCCTGATCACATTCCTCCAGCGATTATAAAGTCATGCAGTTCTGTTTTTGTCCATCCGCTATATATCTTATTTAATAAATCTTTAACATCGGGAGTATTTCCGCATGAATGGAAAAGGGGTTTTATCGTACCGGTTCACAAGGACGGGGATATGAAGAATGTGAAAAATTATCGTCCTATAACATTACTTAGTGCAATACCTAAAGTCTTTGAGAGTATTGTTTTTGATATGATTTATCAGCAGGTGGAACACTTGATAATTGATGAACAGCATGGCTTTATGAGAAGAAGATCAGTAATGACTAACTTAACACTGTTTACTAACTTTGTAGCATCTCAAATTGGAAAAAGTCTTCAAGTGGATGTGATTTATACTGATTTTGCGAAAGCTTTTGATAAGGTTGATCATGCGATTCTGGTGTCGAAGCTAGAGGCTTTAGGATTTTCAGTGGATTTAATTACCTGGATTAAGAGTTATCTTGCTGATAGATATTCATCAGTACGTGTTGAACATGAGTTTTCAGATGTTTTTTTAGCGACCTCTGGTGTACCCCAGGGATCGAATCTTGGACCACTTTTTTTCTTGCTGTTTATTAATGAAATCAAAACTATATTTAAACATAGTTTATGCCTTTTGTTTGCCGATGACCTTAAATTATTTAAAACAATAACTTGTGCGCAGGATGCTATCGATCTTCAATCAGATCTTGATCAGCTTTATAATTGGTCATCAAACAACAAATTGTTTCTTAATATAAAAAATGTAATATAGTCTCATTTAGCAGACTGAGAGAATTTGAACAGTATCAATATGTTATTGATGGTGAAATTCTTTCAAGAGTGTCCATGATCCGAGACCTTGGAGTTACGCTAGACTCAAAGTTGGATTTTAGATCACATATCTTAAATGTTGTTAATAACGCGACTAGAGTCTTGGGCTTTGTCACCAGAAACGCTTCGCGGTTCAAAAATATCTTGGCGTTAAAGGTATTATACTTTTCATTGGTTAGACCAATTATTGAATTTGCTTCGCTAATTTGGTCACCTTATCAGGAATATCTAATGATTGCTCTTGAACGCGTTCAAAATAAATTTATGCGATTTGTTGCTAGAAGAACGGGGATACCATATGATAGATATAGTCATGATTACACTGAATTAAGACGTATATTGGGCATTCCTCTATTGAGGGACAGATTCTTATTTACTGATTTGTTATTCATGTTCAAAATTATCAATGGTATTATAAATTGTCCTCCGCTTTTATCACTACTTAACTTTGCTGTCCCTTATAAACCATCTAGATATTCAATTTTGTTCAGGCAGTCAGTGCAAAGATTAAATTATATAGATAACTCTGTTGTGATCAGAATTACAAGAGAAGCCAACGAACATAATAGCGTAGATTTTTATGGTATTTCTTTAAGTAGATTTATAAGCAACTTGCGTACTGAGATATTTGGTACTAATTGAAAATTGATGTTTCAATGTTTCGCCGAGTCATGGCACCTTATATTTTTATAATTAAGTACATTTGTACGAAAGGGCACTGCCCGTGTAAAAATTAAATAAATAAATAAAAAATTTTAAATCTAAAAAATACATACTAAAAATATACTAACCCCGTTTTAATTAAAAATCACTTTTTTTAAATTTTACATCGAAAATTCAATTTAATAATGTATGTAATTTATTTCAATATATAAAATTAAAAAATATTTTTCTAAAATATACAATTTCATAAGACAATACACATTATTATTTAAAAAAATTTTTTTAATTGATTTAAAAAATGAAATTTAATCATAAAAAATTACCAGAAAATTAAAATTTTTTTTTAAATTTTATAAATGCTCAAAACAATATAGGTTACTATTAAACCCTTTTATTTAAACCTGTATTAAATTTTATTAAATTTCGCAAATAAACAATTTTAAAAATATATTTAAAAAATAAAATATAATTATAAGAAATTATTACAAAATTAAAAAATATTTTTTAAAAATTTTAGAAATTAATTTAAAAATTATTACTGAATAAAAACATATTTTTAAAAAGGCATTAAATAATTTAGTTTAATATTAAACCTCGTTTTAATTAAAAATTCCTTTTTTTAAATTGTACATCGAAAATTCAAGTTAATAATGTATGTAATTTATTTCATTATAAAATTAAAAAAAATTTTTTCTAAAATATACAATTTCATAAGACAATACAGATTATTATTTAAAATTTTTTTTTTAATTAATTTAAAAAATGAAATTTAATCATCAAAAATTACCACAAAATTAAAATTTTTTTTTAAATTTTATAAATTCCAAAAAAATATAGGTTACCCTTTTTAATTAAACCCTTTTTATTTAAACATGTATTAAATTTTCTTTAAATTTCGCAAATAAACAATTTTAAAAATATATTTGTAAATCATCCTTTATGATTAAAAATGTTTTTTCTATTTTGAATTTCCCCCCACCTAAATTGAGCTACCTAATGGAGAAAAGCAAAAACCAGCTCAAGAAATATTACAAATTTTTTATAAATTTCTTTTATTGTATTATTTTTAGAAGGAAAATCTGATGATTCTGAGAGCACAATTGGATATATATCGTACTGACTTTGAACAAGAGAAGGCTGCGAAAAAGAATCTAATTCGTGAAAAGAATAAACTGGTTGAACAGATTCAATCTCTTACTGTTCATAATCAAAACCTAAGAAAAGATATGGACAGATTGAGACAGGGGGAGCAAACTTTTTTACCTTCATCTTCAAGATCACAAAGGAATCAGGTAATATGATATAATAAATGGTAGGGAGTCAAAAGTGGCAAAATAAAAGTGCCAATGCCAAATTTCCAAAATTATTATTTTAAAAAAATTATAGTCAACTTTAAGAATGCAACTTCACGTTTATTCATTGTTGTTATTAAATTGTCAGTGCAGCATTAAATGTTAGCTTGTTTAATAGTTTTTTTTTAATTTTTGGTTTATTAAATTAAAATTTTAGTATAAATTAAATGTTTCGTTAAAAATGGCTGAGGTATTACGCATTGGGAAAAAACTATGTTACATTCTGATGACTTTCTATATTACAAACATAATGTTAAGACAGCTTTCGATTGACAAATGATGGAAGACCGAATTTTTAATATTGTCAACACTTACGAAAATTTTTTTGGGAGATTAACATTTTAGGATATTTATAAGCCATCGGTTATCATTTACATTCATAATTTTCAATTAAAAAATTATTTTTTAATCGCAATTTTTTGATTCATTTATTTCAGTTTTACCACACTTTTTTAAAAACTTTTGTATTTTGGGATTATTTTTTTACTTTGCAAATTTTGTATTTTGGAAAAATATACTTTGGAATTTTTAAGCTTTGGATATTTTTCTTGGCAATTTTTTTTTGCATTTTTGTACCTCAATCATAATAAATATATGATATAAGGAGTTAGTACCACATCTTATTTCAAAAAATTCGATTTTCTAAAAACTGCAGATTCTTGTAGTAAATTATGTAGAAATTCTATGGAAACTATTATTTTGATTGGAAACTTCGGTATCATATCATATCCTTTTTTGACTAATAATTAATAGGGCTCGTTGGATTTCAAAGTCAAATTTAATTTAAAAAAAAAATTTTTTTCATAACACATGCATGGAAACAGTAAGTTTCTCTTCATGGAAATTGTGTAGAAAGGCTCACATTTCCAAATCATGCGTAAAAGTTTGTAAAGTTCACCAATGACAATACAGAGTGACATTGTCGCTACTTTGTCTCATCGTTTTTCACCAATCATAATGCAGAGTTACTTTGTCACATTACTTTGTCGCACACTTCTTACGAAAAAACCCGAAGATGACTCGACGCCAGCCGAATTCACTGTTGCCTACGTAACTATAATCACGTAGTCGTGTTGCTATAGCAACGAATCGGATTGCGTCAGGCGTCAGTTTGTTTACTCTCTGCGTTCACAATATTTTATCGCGCAACATCGCAACCATTGCGATACGTATAAAGTGCGTATAAACGAAATTTGTGAAAAAATCATCATTACATCATTGCTCTATCAATCACCAAAAACTGTAAGTATAATTTAAATTTTACTAATTTCAACTAAATTAAAGTGATTAGTTTTATTAATTTAGATTTACAATAATAAAGTGATTACAGGAATCACTTACTGTTACCTTCTTACACCTTTTTAAAATTTACTTACCCATTTCGCCTACTTTGAGAATTTGTAATCTTATATATTCATTAATTCTAACCTTCAATCTATTCAAATTATAATCAATTATTTCAAATTCAATCATTCCAAATATTAATTTAAAAAATCAACTACTTTAAATTTTTCTCAATTTCAAATTCTAATCAATTAAAAAATCAATCATAAATTCAATTGTTCCACACACCACTCATTTTAAAATTCAATTATTTAAAATTTTAAGAAATTAAATTATGAAATTATTATTATTGAAATAATGTAATTTCTAATCGATACAAATGTGTTATAATTGAAATTTGAATTTTTTGAAATTTAGAATGATTGTTGAAAATTCATTTTTCTGTTAAATTTGATTGAAAAAAAAATATTTCGAGTTTTAATATTTGAAGTTAGGTAGCTTTTATTTACTTTTGTAAATTAGTCTTTTGAGTTGGTTTGTTTTTCTTTCGGGGGGCTTCGCCCCCCGAACACCCCACCGGGGCTGTGCCCCTGGACCCTGTTGGGGGGCAAGCCCCCCGACCCCCCCGCGCCATTAAATATGTTTCCCATATAAAGTATTTCTGTGATAAGTGAGCTCCCCGCGTTCCCCTTTTATTTCAACAAGTGTGAATTCTATGACATCTCGACATTTGTGCCAAAAATTGCATGTTAAAATATGATTTAAACTATTATTTTATTAACTAAATGTGTAAATTATATTATAATTAACTATTATAATCTAAATACTGAGAAAACACGTTAAAAATAATTTAAAAAATTAATTAAAATAAAATATTTTGATCATTCTAAAAAAGACTGATTGAAGGTTAAAAAATAATTGTTTTAAAAATTGCAAGTGATCTGTTAGAAAAATTCCGACCCTACGAATTTCTATAACATTTTCGTTTCTTTCAGCCAGATTTTATTACAAGAAATAACCCCGAAAAAGAGAAAATGAACGAGAATAGAAGTCCTGGTGACGAAAATGAGGGAATACCTCTAGAGATGCTTGAAGACTAAATTTGCTACCAGCAAAATCGAGAAGCAAATACACTAAAGCGTACAATGATTTTCAGCGTTAGAAAACACAAAAAATCGCAACCTCGTCTGCTGAAAAGGTGTTATTAGTCTATTTTAACGAATTGACAGTTCTCAAAAAGTGGAAATCACCAACCTTATGGTCTCACTGGTCAATGTTAAAATCTATGATTAATCTAAATGAAAATGTTGACATCAATTCGTACAAGAAATTGAAATCATTTCTGAAACTACAAGGCGTCGGTTACACAGCCCCACAAAAAAAAAGAAGTGTCGTGCTCGGCAGACCAGACTAGTCATTTCCCATGTATTTTGACGCGCTGAACACGAATCCGAAGTCCGTTTTGCTCCATCACGTCAGGATTTTTTTCTAACCTCCAAAAACCTGTCGGATTTTGAGAGGTAGGCTATTTTTTTTAAAAAATTGATGGATTTACTTCAAAATTGGTATCTAGGGGTTTTTTGGGTCGCTGATTACGAATCTGAAGTTAGATTTTCAAAATTTAAAATGGCGGCTCCAATATGGCGGACGAATTTTGTAAAAATTGATGGATTTACTTCAAACTTGGTATCTAGGGGTTTTTTGGGTCGTTGATTACGAATCTGAAGTTAGATTTTCAAAACTAGAAATGGAAATTCTTATATACATAAGTAAGGTATTTACGTCTTTTTATGGTAGCGCACTCTTTTGTCCTCAAAGGATCTGTGTAATGGTTTTCTTTTCAAATTGGTGCCTCTAGGTACAATATCCCTTTTCAGCATCCAACAGTAGTTGGCCATCATATTTACATCCCATCTTCCTTGATAACGACGCTCAAAATCTTTCAGATCTTGATGGAATCGTTCTCCTTGTTCTTCACTGTAATCTCTCAAATTTTCAGGGAATTAATCCCGATGCGAGTCTAAGTAATGCAACTTTATGCTCATTAAGCATCCTAACTTACCAAAGTTTTTAATCATATCACTAACTATTTGCTCCCAATTTTCACTCTTGTGATTACCCAGAAAATTTTCGACAACTGCTTTGAAACTAAGCCATGCGGCTTTCTCCTTTTTATTCATCTTGGTGATAAATTGCTCATCTTTTAACAATTTGCGAATACGTGGTCCGTCGAAAACCCAAAAAACCCCTAGATACCAATTTTGAAGTAAATCCATCAATTTTTAAAAAAATAGCCTACCTCTCAAAATCCGACAGGTTTTTGGAGGTTAGAAAAAAATCCTGACGTGATGGAGCAAAACGGACTTCGGATTCGTGTTCAGCGCATCAAAATACATGGGAAATGACTAGTCTGGTCTGCCGCGCACGACACTTTTTTTGTGGGGCTGGGTTATCATTCTAAAAAGGCTCAAACTTTTACACCTGAGAATGTCCAACAGTTCTGCAATGAGGCTTCAGATGACAAATTTTTGGCCACAAAGATAATATATCCTTATTTTTAATTTATGTATAAAAATTTTTCTTGAAAGATCCAAAAAAGTCAATTTTCTAAAAATTTACTTTTCATTCAAAAATTTTTAAATTTTTAATTTATTTTTTCATAATTAATAAATTATGTATATTTTCAATAAAAATATTAAATCTTAGCATAACAAACTAAAATGTGATATTTAACACGAATTTTAATATAATTAAAATTAATTTTTCATAAAAATATTTATATTTTTAAAAATATAATACACTGGAGTCTCCCAAGAGAGGACTTCTGAAGAGAGGACTAAGTAGTGACGCGGCGCGGTAAGGAGTGAGGGGGGAAGAGATGGGCGGGATCAGAAAGAGGAACGTGAACTCAGGAGCGTTTGTTTTTAGTGTACCTTTCTCCGCAGTGTTTTATGTATGTAATAGAATGTATTCTGTTAAAAAAACACATCTCTGTGATACGATATACGGCCCTGGAGTGTTTACAATTTTCGGCGTCAAGGACGAATTCCGTAGAGAGGTCCAAGACTCTTCCTGTCCTCTCTTCGGAGACTCTAGTGTATACATAGTTTAATTTATAATACATTTATTAATAAATAATCAAAATAATAAATAAATTATATATAAATTTATAATAACAAATTAATAAAATCAAAAACTAACATTATATAACTTACATCTATTTTAATATTTTCAGGTTTGTTTGATTTTCGGATTTTTAGGCGGACTTCGACGAGAAGAGTTAGTCAATGTGCACATCACTCACATTAGGAAGGAAGGCTCAACTCTCTTTATCAGTATTCCTGATACTAAAACTCATAAACCAAAATCTTTTGCCACTGTGAACGACTTCGTTGGCATTGTAAAAAAATATGCAGCTTTGCGACCAGAGAAATGTCCTACAACAAGATTCTTCTTGAATTATCAAGACGGGAAATGCACGGTGCAACCTATAGGAGTCAACAAAATAGGAGGAATGCCCAAGATTATAGCGGAGTATTTAAGATTACCAAATCCAGAGACATTTACTGGTCACACGTTCCATCGCACTGGTGCCACTTTACTGGTTAACGCTGGTGCTGATATAACTACGCTAAAAATGTTTGGAAAGTGGAAAT